GTGTATAATTCAATGTCTTTTTGTATATTCACAGAGTTGTATAACCATCACCATAGAACATTTTCATCACCTGAAAAAGAAACCTTCCACCCATCAGTGTCACTCCCATTTCCTCTTCAATCTTCCCAGCAGTATTAGTCTGTTCAGGCTGCTGTAACAAAATACCACAGATTAGGTGGCTTAAACATCAGAAACTTGTTTTCTCATAGTTTTGGAGGCTCAGAAGTCCCAGATCAGAGTTCAGTAGAGTTAGTTTATGGTGAAGGCTCCCTTCCTGGCTTACAAATAACTGCCTTCTTGTTCTATCCTCTCCTGGCAGCTGGTTAGGGAAGGGGCGTTACAGCAAACTCTCGTGTCTCTTCTTTTAAGGACACCAATCCTATCAGGTCAGGGCTTCACCCTTATGACCTCATTTAACCTAATTACCTCCTGTCTCCTAATACAGTCACACTGGGGGTTAGGGCTTAACATATGAACTGGGGGGGGTCATTTTCAGCCATAGCACCAACCCTGGGCAACCACTAACCTACTTTCCATTTCTAAGAATTGACTATTCTGGACATTTCATATTAATGGAAGTGTTTTCAAGCTTCGTTCATATTGTAGTACTTAATTCCTTTTCTTGACTGAATAATATTTAATTGTGTGAGTATACCACATTTTAAAATCCATTCATCAACTGATGAGCATTAGACTTGTTTGTACTTTTGCTATTATGAATAATGCTGTTATGAATATTCAGGTGCATGTTTTGGGGTGAACATACATTTTCAATTATTTTCTGCCTAGGAGTGCAACTGCTGGGTCATATGGTCACTCTGTTGAAATTTTTGAGAAACTGCCAGACTATTTTCCAAAGGGACTCTACCATTTTGCATTCCTACCTACAGTGTATTACAGTTCCAATTTCTCCACATTCTCATCAACACTTGTTATTATCTGCATTTTTTATTATATTCATCCTGCTGGCTGGGAAGTGGTCACTCATTCTGGATTTGGTTTTCATTGCCCCGTTGGCTAATAATGTTGAACATCTTTTCATGTGTTTATTGGTCATTTGTATATCTTCTTTGGAGAAATATCTATTCATATTATTTGCCCACTTTAAAATTGGGTTAGCTATCTTATATTATTGAGTTGTAAGAGAACTTTATGTATTCTAGAGATGAGTCTTTCATCTCATATGATTCACAGATATTTTCTTCCAATCTGTGGGTTATCTTTTCACTAGTGTCCTTGGCAGTACAAACGTTTTTAATTTTGATGAAGTTCAATTTATGTGTTTTTTCTGTATTTACTTATTATTTTGATAGCCTGTTTAAGAAACAGCATGTGATCTCACATTATATACAAAGATTAACTCAATTGCCTAATCCATACTCACAAAGATTTACACCTATGTTTTCTTCCAGAAGTTTTATGGTTTAGCTCTTATGCTTTGGTCTGATTCATTTTGAGTTAATCTTTGTATATAATGTGAGATCACATGCTGTTTTTAAAAACAAGTTAATGTGATAAATAATCAGGAATTTAAGAAATATGCAACTAACTTTGCTTTTAATTTAACATCATGTAATATTTTTTTAAGCATACCATTTAATGGAAAGAAACTAAACCTTAACTCCTAATAAGGCTGATAGACTCCATATTTACTTTAAAAAGTTGATAAACTGGCTGGGCTCGGTGGCTCAGCCTGTAATCCCAGCACTTTGGGAGGCTGAGGCGAGTGGATTGCCTGAGCCCACAGGTTCATCACCAGCCTGGGGAGCTTGGTGAGACCTCATCTCTACAATAAACAAAAAACAGCTGGGTGTGGTTGTGCACACCTATCGTTTCAGCTACATGGAAGGATTGCTGGAGCCCAGCAGGTCGATGCTGGGGTGGCCATGAGTGTGCCACTGTACTCCAGCCTGGGCGACAGAGCAAGACTCCAACTCAAAAAAAAAACAAAAAACGTTGATTAGACTAAGAATTATTAGAAAAAGTTTTTAATATTTTTATTTTTAGAAAACTGTCTGCTTTCAATAAAGATTTAAATGAAGCTATATGTTCACATTTTTTGTAAATGATGTCTTTTGAAATACATTAAAATCGTCTTTATTGCCCTGTTATAATGAGATGACCTTTGATTTAATGCAGTGGTTCTCAGTCGGGATGATTTCACCCCTCAAAGGAAATTTGGCAATGTTTGGAGACATTTTTTATTGAAACAACTGGGGAAATGGTGCCACTAGCATCTATGAGACAGAGACCAGAGAGGTTACTAATCCATCTACAATGAGTGGAACAGCATCATTTAAGGAAGTGTCCAGCCCAAAATGTCAACTTGTGCTGAGGTTGAGAAACCCTGCTTTACCTAAATCAGTGGCTTCTGCCAGTTAAATTCGAAAAGAAATGTGAGTTTTCAAATCCTTCTGCCCTTCAGTTACAATCTCTTGGATTTCTTCTATTACAATACTGAGCCTTTCTGGTCCTGAATGTGCCCCAGGACCTTCCTGTCATCAGAACCCTTTATGGTGACAAAAATCTGTAGGCCTTCTTTTATGGGGTCATTGGGAAACATAAGCACTTACTTACAGTGCTTAATTCATTTTGTATTTGCATATGTTCATTTTTTGAATATTTGGATAGTACATTTCCTGTTAAACATACGTATTTGGGCTCCTATATCCCATTAAAACATATTTTTATCTGATTATATAACAATAATGATAATGAGTAATCATTTTTGAGTGTTCACTATGTCAGGCACTATGCTAAGCACTGTTCCTGCATCATCTAGTTTAATTTCCTCAATAACTTTATAAGAGAGCAACTATCATTCGTCATATTTTACATCTGTAGAAACTGAGGCACAATGAGATTAGGGGATTTGCCCAAGTTTGTATAGCTGGGCTGTCATTACTTCAAGTCCAGACTTAACCCTGATGTGGGGTCAACTGTGAGGTGCAAGCATGTCGCAAAGAATTTGAATTATTCATTATGGACAATCACACACTGACATTTGTGGAGCAGTGAGGTGTCCTCTCACTCGCTTGTGCCCCCGTAAATGCCCTGCCATAGGAGAGAAGAAGTGGACACAGCTAGCCACAGCAAGTCCCATCTAACCTGAGCCGAGCCTACAGAAGCATGGCTCACATGGGAGTATCACCTGCCCTGCCTATCAGGATGGACAATATCTGAGAACTGCTGCTTAAGGACTACTGAGATGTGTGTAGCATCACTTATGTTCCTGATACTCACCCCAGAATCAGTCTAGGCTTGATATTCTACCCACTGGTCGTCGTCTTATACAATGCTCCAACTCCCAGTGTCTCTCCTGACTTGTGGCCTAAATCTGTTTGCACATATACCAGCACCACCTGTCAAGTCCCATGTGTTCCAGGCACTATGCTGTATGGACCCTACTCACCTACAGTCTTTCTGGAGACAGGGTCACACCCTGGTCTGCCCATCTGGCAACCACTGCTCTTACTGGAACAGCACTATGTTGTTAAACTGTGGAACAGTATCAAGAAGGTACCTGATCTCAAACCAGGCAAAGTGGGGACCAAAAGGAGGCCCAAACTTTACCTGTGCAATGACCACTTATACACCTAATCCTGAACTGTACCCCATCTTTAAAATTAAAAAAAAAAACTGTGGAACAGTGTCTTGTAAAAACTTACCCACTTCTTAAAAAGCAGTATTCCTTCCCTAGCTTTATTCCTCTATGTTCCAGGCATATAGTTATCCTCATACGTCTGAGATCATACCCCTCGCAGAGGGGGTTTTCAGAAAAAGATTTGGAGTGTGTGTGAGTGACCAAAGGTATGCATTTTGATGGTACAAAGTCAGTTTGGGGGTGCAGCAAGAGGTTCTGCCCATACCAGCCTCCAGGTATCCTTCGCTAGTTCTCTGAATGAATAGGGGCAGGGAGTGTGCAATGATTAGAGGTAAAAATTGCCCCTCTCCCCCAAATCTGAAGAAATATTTTGTTCTAGATATGTTCCTGAAACTTTTGAGCAAGGCTTTCCTTGATCTGGGCCTCAATTTCCCCTTGAAGGGACAGTATACGCACTGGATGATCTCTAAGCATCCTTGCAGCTGCAAACTTCTTTGACTCCCTAAGATACTGAAGGTTGGCTGAGTTAAAGTGAAGCCCATTAGGGTTATTTAAATCCACCCTAGTTAGGAATCTGCCTTAGTAGTAAGCCCATACCTAGAAGCCTGCCCATGTTTGAAGAAGAGAACGCAGCAATTGGTTGATGCTATCTTTCTTGAGAGATTCATCTCCAGGGGCGACGTTCAAAATATTTAGCAGTGTGTCATGAGCACAGACCCGGTGAGAGATTAGAAGGCGGCGAGTAGAGTTGGTAGAGACGGCTGCCTGAGAACACGCCTGGCCCACCTTGCACTGCTCTGCTCTCACTTCGCCGTCCGCTAGGCCCCGCCCCCACATCTCTACTCTGCTGTCCTCTCCCCACCCCCCATCACTGCTCTGCTGGGTCCTTCTCCAGCTTATTTTTTGGTTTTGCCTCTCCCTGCCTGATTCTACATCTAGGGTCCTCACTCACCTCCTTTTTGGCTTCTCTCTTCAGCCACTTGATACCTGACTCTTGTAAATCTCTTTATGCATTCAAACACCAACTCAATCATATTCATCACTCAACAGATGGTCTGTGAGTGTCCTTCTATGCTCAGAAGCTTCCCTGACCCCCCTCACCCCTCTGCCTTCAAAAATGTTAGAGGAGAGAACACGCTGAAGGATTGAGAGACCCGAGTCCTAGCCGCACTCTGACCCTCATCTGCTGTGATCTTGGGCAAGTCCCTGCCCCTCCTGGGATTCCAGAGTCCTTACATGTAAAATGAGGGACTTGGATGGATTCCACCAGCTCTAGGGTCCCTGCTGTTCAATGATGAGTTTCTGGAGAAATGCAAGTCTTCAGCAGCTGACCACTCTCTTTCTCTCTCTCTCTCTCTCTTTCCCTCTCTCCCACCTCCCACAACCTCCACTGTAGAATGCACTGCTGCCTGCAGGCCTGAGGCAGAAGGATCAAACCACCAAGGCGCCCACAGGCCCCTTTAAAAGAGAGGAGCTCTTGGATCACTTGGAAAAGCAAGCAAAGGAGTTTAAGGACCGAGAAGATCTGGTCCCCTACACAGGGGAAAAACGAGGTACTGAACAATGTTGCTCTTATGACTATTTCACTCCCCATGCATCATTGAGTGCCAGCTGTATACCTGGCTCTATGTTGAGCCAAATTGATTGGGCCTCCTTGTCCTCATCTCTACCTGGCCAAAAAACCACAAATCCAACTCCAAAAGCATTGGTGCATCATGTAGATTTAGTGAAACTTTTGAGTAGACTGAGGAAAGAGTCCTGTCCCAGACCAGCAAAACTTTTTCCTAAATCCCTTATAACTAGGGTGTCCTGATTGTTTTTTCATATAAACCTACATACTTCTGAGTGTCAAAGAAGCGACTCCTAATAATGACATTAGGACATGAGGCCTAAACAAGGACTGTCCTGTGCCAATTAGGAAAGAGAGATCCTAGCAATCTCTACCCTGTCTCTGCTCTTTCTCCAAAGTTCCTTTCTCCAGCCCTGCTGCATCCCTTCCCTTTTCTGTCCCTCTAAGATTATCTGGTCCAGCCTGAGGCCAGCCATCCAGAAGCCTAGGGGATCACAGAGAGGTCCTCCCTGACCATCTGCCCATCCAGGACTTCCTGTGCATATCCAAATTCCCTCCTCTTGTATACCCCTTGTTCTCACCATTACCCCACTGCCCCACAGGCCTTCTACTCCCCAAACTTTCTGAGCTCTTTTGACTTCAGAACCTTTGCACATATTCACTGGGCCTGGAATGCCGTTCTCACTGCCCAGCTCCATGCTTTCCCATGACTCTTGTTGCCCTGTGACAGGTGTCATGGACAGAAACAGCCCAGAGCTAGATCTACTATGGCTGCAATCCTGGCACTACCACTTACTAGCTATGTGAACATAAATAAACATTTTAAACTACTGGCCCTCCATTTCCTCCTCTATACAATGGGGGTGATGAAAATAATGTCACCAGCCTCATGAGGTTGTTATAAGGATTAAAGGAGCACTTAGAGTAGCATCTGGCACGTAGTAAACGCTATATAAGTATTAGCTGTTATTATCCTTTAGGTCTCAACTGTACTGTCTTCTCTTTCAGGAAAGCCATCCTGTCTACTCTGCTTAGGACATGCAGTCCCCCTTCAGCTGCTCCCTCAGTTATTTTCCAACTCAGGAACCTGTGTGTGTCCTTCCTAGGACAATTCACACTTTTGCAGTATGGCTTTATCACCTGTCGCTCTCACTAGCCTGAAAACTCCATAAGGCAACCACTTGGGTTGTTTTGGGTTTTGCCCCCAGCACCCAGCCAGTCCAAGGCCTGGCACACAGTATGGGTTAAGAAGGGAGTTGCTGAATTAATGAACGAGTTGAAATTCAATAAATGTTTCATGAATCTTGTGTGTGGCTTCCTTGGAATCCAAGCTCCACAAGTGCAGGGATCATATCTGTCCTGTTCATTGTCATATCTCCAGCACCTAATAAATTGCTAGCACATAGACGGCACCTAGTTCTTATTTGCTGAGTGAAAGCATTGATTTTTAACAAATTATTATGGAATCGATGGTTTCTTTTCAGTCTTTCTGATCCTTCCCACCCCAAGAACATAAGCCTGTGAGTCTGTGTCTTAACTGGCCTCTCTGTATCCCAGTTACATCAGCACAGTGCCCGGCACTGAGTAGCTCTTTAAAAAATAATAAAATGAGAAAGCACGCAGGAGTAGACATTGTGAGAAAGACTTTGAACCGTTCCAAACTCTGGAATTTGAATGCAGTCCAGGTTATACCCAAAACTGGAAGGTCAGAGAGGCCCAAGGGGCATCTGGATTATAGAACTTCAGAACTTTGAAAGGAGTGTGTGGTCTGAGGCATTCTGGGTGGGGGGTGGCAGGAGAAGGTGTAGAGATAAGAAGGGAGAGCATCAGACCTGGGTGGACATTGGGGAGGTGAATTATTGGTGGTATGTACTTCCTCATATACCCACCATCCCTCCCAGGGCCGAGGACTTAGAGCACGGTGTAGGGGATAGGGAAGGGAGTCTGGCAGTACACAAACCAATCCTGCCACCTCTCTACAGAATGCTGACCAGGCCAGAACTGGGGACAGCCTCCAGCTTCCCAGAGCCTGACTACTTTCATGAATAAACCAGGCTGATCCAAGGAGGGTAGGTAGCATTCATTCCATTTCCATATAGTGATGAACCTAAAAGGTTCATCATCACCATCATCATCAAGTATTTAAATAATGATTGCTGGAGTTCTTAGGGGTTGAATAAATGTAGGTCTCAGAGGGGGTGGGGTAAGAGACCCTCCCGTTCTGACTGGCAGGTTCAGGACCTAGTGCTATCTTGGGCTGAAAGAAAACCACTTCACACCACAAGACCTGGCAAGATGTGGGAAGAGCCATAAGCCAGTGCAAAGTCCTGAGGAATTTGGAATGGGAAGAATTCTCACTAAAGTAGGGGAGATCAGAATAAAACTCCATGACGGATCTTTTCATTAGAATTTGATTTGGCTGCATGAACTGGGGGGAAAATTTAAATTATGGAGACCTAATCAAGAAGTTTAATTTTTTAGACATTTCAGGGCTAGTAAGGCATATTACTCTGCATCAGGGATGAAGACCCTTTTCAACTTTTCATTCTGCTATCCCTGCAACATATCTTTGTCCTCATGGTCTATCTGACCACTAAAGTTCTAACCATCACATTCACATTCCACTAGTAAGATGAAGGGAAGAAGTCCAGTGTTTTATAGTGAGTCACCACTCTCACTGGAGTTACCTGTTACAGGGGTATAATTAACTACAGGTATTAAATATTTATTGAATATTCCTTTTACACATTGCCTCAGTCATTTTCATACTTGAGTTTGTTTTTAGGCATTTTGTTTTCCTTGTGTTTTCCCTTTTTCTGGTTCCCTGGAATCTGATATTAACATGGAGGTTATGATCTTCTCCCCAAAAGATTTTGTTGTGTACTTTGCTGATAGAGGTAATTGATATTTACTATAAACAATTTTAAACAATAAAACAAAGTAATTCACTCCACTGAAAATAAGCCCATTTTAGTGAGAATCTTTCTGGAAGTACATTTCTCTATGTACTTCCTGCTCCCTCTCCTCCCCCACCACTACTACCCTGGCATTGCACTGGTTTCTGTCATCTCCCTGCTTCCGTCCTCACCCTCTTCCAACTATTCTTCATCAACTGAAGTAAGCAGGGTTTTTTTTTTTAATTAAGGTAAAATTCATGTAGCGTAAAATTAACAATTTAAAAATGAACCAGGCCGGACTCGATGGCTCAGCCTGGAATCCCGCGTCTTTGGGAGGCCGAGGTGAGTGGATTGCCTGAGCTCGCAGGTTCGAGACCCGCCTGGGCAACTTGGCGAGATCCTCATCTCTACAATAAATCAAAAATTAGCCGGGCATGGTAGCGCACGCCTGTAATTCCGGCTACTCGGAAGGCTGAGGCGGAAGGATTGCCGGAGCCCAGCAGGTCGAGGCTGCGGTGGCCGGGAGCGGCCACTGCACTCCAGTCTGGGCGACAGAGTGAAACTCCAACTCAAAAAAAAAAAAAAAACTAAAAATGAACCATCCATAATGTTGTGCAACTACCATTCTACTTAAATCCAAAACACTTCTGTTGCTCCAAAATAAAACCTGTACCCATTAAGCAGTTACTCCCCACTCCCTCTCCCCAGCTCCTGGTGACCACTACTCTGTTTCTATGGATTTACTTATTCGGGATATTGCCTATAAATGAAATCATACAATATGTGATTTTGTGTGTCTGACTTCCTGCATTTAGCATAATGTGCTCCAGACTCATCCATGTTGTAGCATGTGCCAGTACTTTCCTTTTTAATCACTGAATAATTTTCTGCAATTTGTCTATTCCTTCATCCACTGATGGACATTTCGATCATTTTCACTTTTTGGCTATTGTGACAAGTGCTGCTTTGAACATTTCTGTATAAGCATTTGTTTGAATACCTGCTTAAAATTCTTTAGGGTATATACCCAGGAGTGGAATTGAAATCATATGGTAATGCTATGTTTAATTTTCTCAGGAACTGTCAAGCTTCTTTTCCATAGCAACTGTACCATTTTGTATTCCTCCCAGCAATGTTTAAGGGTTCCAGTTTTCGACATCCTTGGCAACACTTTTTCTCTTTTTTTTTGTTATAACTATCCTCATGGGTGTGAAGTGGGATCTCACTGTGGTTGTGATTTGCATTTCCCTACTGACCAGGGATGCTGAGCATCTTTTAATGTGCTTGTTGGTCATATGTATATCCATCTCTGGAGAAATGGCTAATCAAGTCCTTTACTCATTTTTAAATTGGGTTGCCTGTCTTTTTGTTATTGTGTTTTAAAAGTTATTTCTTTATTCTAGGTACTAGACCCTTATCAGATATATGATCTGTGAATATTTTCTCCCATTCTGTATGTGTTGTCTTTTCACTTTCTTGATAGTGTCCTTTAATGCACAAAGCTTTTAAATTTTGCGGGTGTCCAAGTGATCTATTTTTTCTTTTGTTGCTTGTGCTATTGTTGTCATATCTAGGACTATGTTGCCAATTTTAAGGTCACGAAGACATATGCCTATATTTTCTTCTAAGAATTTTGTCATTTTAGCTCTTATATTTAAGTCATTGACCCATTTTGAGCTCATTTTTGTATACAGTGTGAGATAGGGATCCAAATTTATTCTTTTGTATGTAAGTATCCAGTTATCCCAGCACCACTTGTTGAGACAGTTCTTTCCCCACTGAGTGGACTTGGTGCTCTTGTTGAAATTCAATTTGTACCAGGCATGGTGACCCACGCCTGTCATCCTAGCACTTTGGGAGGCGGAGACAAGAGGATTGCCTGAGCCCATGGATTTGAGACCAGCCTGGGCAACATGGTGAGACCTCATCTCTATAATTTAAAAAAAAAAAAAAAATTAGCTGGGCATGGTGGAAAATAAATTTGCCGTAGATGTTTGGTTTTATTTCTGGACTCTTGAGTCTATTCCATTGTCTGTATGTCTATTCTTATTGCTACTACTACATCGTTTAGCTTTTCAGTAAGTTTTGAAATTAATGAGCTCTCTAATTCTGTTATTTTTCTTTTCTTTTTCTTTATCTTTTTTTTTTTTTTGAGTTGTAATCTCACTCTGTTGCCCAGACTGGAGTGCAGTGAATGCTCACAGCACAGCAGCCTCAACCTACTGGGCTCAGGTGATCCTTCTACTTCAGCCTTCCAAGTAACTGGAACTACAGGTGCACACCACCATGCCCAGTTAATTTTATGATTTATTGTAGAGAAAAGGTCTCGCCATGATTTTTCGCTAATTTTATGATTTATTGTAGAGACGAGGTCTTGCCCAGACTGGTCTCAAACCCGTGAACTTGGGTGATCCTCTCACCTCTGCCTCCCAAAGTGCTGGAATTACAGGCATGTGCCACCATGTCCGAATTAATTCTGTTGTTTTTCAAAGATTGCTTGGGTATTTGTGGACCCTTGCAGTTCTATATGAATTTGAAGATTGACTTTTCTATTTCTGGGGAAAAGGCTGTTGGAATTCTGATAGGAATTGCACTGAGTCTGTAGATTGCTTTTGGTAGCCCTGTCATCTTAATAATATTAAGTGTTCTGATCCATGGACTCAGAATATTTTTCTGTTTATTTGGGCCTTCTTTAATTTCTTTCAGTAAAGTTTTGTAATTTTCGATGTACGTCTTTTATCTCCTTGATTAAATTTATTCCAAAATATTTTATTCTTTTGGATGCTATTATATATGAAGTTGTTTTCTAATTTCCTTTTCAGATGATTCATTGCTGGTTTATAGAAACATCACTTATTTTTGTATGCTGATCTTGTACCCTGCAACATGGATGAATTTTATTAATGCTAAAGGTTTTTTGTGAAAATTTAGGGTTTTCTACACATAAGATCATGTTGTCTGCAAACAGAAATAATTTTACTTTCTTTTCAGTTTGGATTCCGTTTATTTCTTTTTCTTGTCTGTTTACTCTGACTAGAACTTCTAGTACAGTTTTGAGTAGAGGTGGTAAAAGTGGGCGTTCTTGTCTTGCTCCTGACCTTGGAGACTCATTTTCTCACTTCTGTAAGTCCCAGATCATAGGCTGTTGTCTCAGTGAGGCCTTCTTCAACCACTCTTCCCAAAATAGCAGGACCCACCTCACCCCACCCAGCCGGTGTCTCTTGGACTCTTGTTCTGCTTTGTCTTCCCTGATAATGCTTAATACCATCTGATAACATCACATGCTTGTTTATCTGTCTCTGTCCACTAAATTGGAAGCTCCTAGGGGGTTTATTCACTGCTTTCCCCCAGCCCTCAGAAAGGTTCCTGGCACATAGGAAGCCCTCAATAAATTGTGTTGAATAAATACTTATTTACATGCAATTTCTCATACATGGAATTAAATTGTTCATGCTATTTTGTAGACTTGCTTTTTCATACAACATTTGTCTAAGGCATCCTCCTCGGTAAGTAGCAATAGTTCACTTCGTTTTTAATATCTGCTGGATTTTCATTGTGTGGATGCACCATAATTTTGTCACCAGTCTCTGTTGGTTTGCACAGCAGTGACCATCCTCCTGCATACCCCTTTACGGCCTCATTCTGAGTTATGAGTCTGACACTTTAGAATATAATGTCCCATGAGGCAAGGATACCTTTTTGCTCCCTTTTCATTTTTTAGTAATCTGAATATATTTTATTTATTTTGTTAAGAAATATTTATAAATTTTTTTCTCATACAAGAACCCTTTGTGTCTCAGTCCTTGGCATTCTATTGTATTTTTCTTTTCTTTCTTTTCTGCTTAAAGATTGTTTAGTTGTGACCAGTGCTTTCAATGGAGAATAGCCTGCTTTGATCAAGTTATAAAATAATTTTTTCCAAGTGTGGGGGTGCTGTGTGGGAAATCCTTGATACCCATTATTTAGGAAAGTTGGTCCCCAGAGGGAGAAAATTTAAGGGGCTCTCAGCATGGAGGGATCTACAGGGCTCTACAATGGTCCACCCAGGGCCATTGCCTGAGGCTGTACCATTGCAGCCACACTCTCTAACAGGTATCCTGTACACTTGTAGGAAAGGTCTGGGTCCCCAAGCAGAAGCCAATGGATCCTGTACTGGAAACCGTGACGCTGGAGCCAGAGCTGGAGGAAGCCTTGGCAAATGCTTCAGATGCAGAACTCTGTGACATTGCAGGTAGGAGGCATTCCTGAAGCTTCCCCTCTCCCCTCCCCCCAACCCCCGTCCTCCCTAAGGATTTTGCTCACATCTGCAGGAAGCCTTGTAGGATTCATTTCAACATGAATACCCACTCTATTTCCAACAAGGACAAAGGAGACCAAGAGTATTAAAATAAAAATCCATTATCTAAAAATCAAAGCAAGGAAAGATAAGACCACCCAACCAAACCCATCACACCATGGGGCCACTTGTGGTTGCCATGAGAGATGTGGATGGTTTGCAGAGAGAGCCAGCTTAGACCCTTTCCCAGTCATTTGCATTGAATCCTGCCCAAGCCACCTGAAAGAGAGAATGAAGAGGAACACCCAGAGTGCCTCCAGGCTTGGGAGGCTCACAAAGGACACAGAGCAGCGGGCATCCAATTTTGCTGCTTTGTACTCTGCCTGCAGTCAACTCAGAGAGCTGGGCTTCAAGGGGATCACCCTTGTATATCTCATCTTTACCCCACACCCTCCATCTTGATGTGTGTTTCCATATGATGTTCATAAACAACCCTGAAAACCCCAGAAGGTGGCCTGATATTGTCCCCCCTGCCACCTGCCCGCCCCCCTCTCCCTACTCCCATCTAGGGGCCCTGTGTGAGCGTGCTATGTTCCATCCCCATGAAGGTCAGGTGCCAGGTCATCTAACATACTGTGCTCCTTGACTCAGTGAATGGGAGGCTTTTCATTCTGCAGACTTGAAGCCTATTGACCATCACCCAGGTGGTGGGAGGAGGGTGGGCAGGGTAGGGACAGACTCAAGGCAAGTAGGCGGAGGAGGGGAAAAAAGGAGATCGTTGTGACTGACTGGCTGTGAGAGCTAGGCAGAGGGAGGAGTCAAGGAGGGCTGACCCCAGAGACCAAGAGGATGTTGGTGCCATTCTTGACAGCAAGGAAGGAGCAGGAGTGGGGGAGACACCGAGTTCAGTTTAGGGCCTGTGGTGTTTGGAGTGCCTGAGGGCCACCTAGGTGGGGACAATTGAATGAAGGTTTGGAGTGTTGCAAGTGTCCCTGTTTGGCATAGAGATTTTGGCATCTTTAGTGTTGTCAAGCTCCAGGAACCACATAGAAGGCTAAGACCTGGGGCTCTGGGAAGGCAAGTGCCAGACCCAGGTAGAAACCTTTGGAAGCCAAATCGTGGAAATGGAGCAAAGCTAGTGTGGTGGCCAGTTAGTCACAAATAGGTTGGGAACCAAAGATCGAATTAAGATGGGCAGAACTGGATGCAAGAACCATAGAGACAAAGGGAAGGTTCAAGGCTGGCCAGGAAATTCAGATGTGCATGAGGTCAGAGGCCGGCTGGAGCCTCCAGCACCAGGGGACTCAGTCAGCCACAGCTGACTTTTGCCTCATTCTATCTACCAACTTCTCATGGGTGTTATGCTTGATTCCTGATGACATTTGTGGTAGGGGAGGGGATGGGCATCGGGGGTGGCCGTTATCTATGGTAGGGCCATGAGGGATGCTGGGAGAAGACTCAACTACACACAAGGGGTGGCCCTGGATGGTGGCCAGGTTGCAGGGACCTGAAAAGTAAATGGGGAGGGCCAGTGTGTAGACCCTCAGTCCAGACAGCCCTTTCCTCAGGAGACAGAGAATTTGAAGAAGGACAAAGGACAGTGACTTGAAAGGTGTCAGGGCTGAGAAGGAATGGGTTCCTTTTCACTACCAGCACAGGAACAGTGAGTATTTCGCCCAGATGGGAACAGAACACTTAACTTGGGAACTGGTTTGCTAGGTTAGCGACTTTTTTGTCAGATCCTACATTTTCTGGATGGGGTCCCCTTGACTTCCGGTTTATCTGTACATTAGGGAAGGTGATGCTTTTGTCCAGTGTCTCCACATTGACTGACCCTGGAGCTGTCTTCACCCTAGACTTTCTCCTTCACTTGCCCTCCATGACATCACTCCCCTCATTAGGCAACTCAGAGGGATTATCAAATGACTCTGCTGTCCCAACTGCCGGCTCCTGAGCTGAGACAGAACTGCAGTCATGTACTAAGTTTCTGTGTTGCTTTCTTGAAATTATTTCTCTCTATTTTTTGTTGGCATGGCTATTTACTGTTATCCATCCATGATACCATACCATACCCTTCTGATGTCTGGAAAGGAGAGGGGAGCTGTAAGTCTATACCAGTGTTAACTGGCTAATCTTGGACACCAGTCATTTTATCTCAGACATTTGAAAGGTGGCAGCGTCTCTGGGGAAGGAGGGGCTGAACCCGGGTAGCTTTGTTCTAGGGCCCATTCGCAGTGTTGCCACACAACTGAGTGAAGCCTTTCAGGGTAGGGGAGGATGCACAGAATACAGAGGGCGGGCAAGAGAGGGTGCAAGGCCAAGTCTCAAGAAGTCGTCTGGAGGTGGGGCGGGACCACGTTAGGAAAGGCTCTGGTTACACCAAGCAGCTGAAACCTGGGACTAGGGACATGAGAACAGGGTTTGACTGGAGAGGAATTAGTGTTCTGGAGGATGCGGGATGGAGGAAACGGGCCCTGGGTGAGGCCAAGGGCCAAGGCAGAGCTGTGGGACTGCCTCTGAGATGTGGCATCATCAAGAGAACAGCTATTCCTAGAGCTGGCTTAGAGGCCAAGGGGCCAAGGTGGTGCCAGGCTTTCTGGCCCGAGGTACCACAGAGCAGGCTGAGTGGCTAAAGGCAAGTGCATTACCCTGAGCTGATTTCAAAGACGCCACATGAGATGGAGGCTGGACATTGCACAGAGGCTCTGGATGAAGCAGGCCCACCAGAGAGTGGTGGGGCATTGCAGCCTTCGTCAAGGAGGGAGTGTCTGGGGCCATGAGAGTGGGCAATTCATTAGAGAAAGAAGAGTAGAAGAAGAGGGTATGGGATGTCCAGGTCACCTCTAGCCTGTGTTCTCCCCAGCAGAACATTTCCAACTTCTTAGCCTTGGCTTGTTCACTTGTTCACACACAGTTGGTGCTGTTTATCCAGTGCCTACTACCTGCTGGGAGCCAGGCCCTGGACTAGGCCCTAGAGAAAGACTTGTCACAAAATACCCAATTCCTGCTCTCACAAAACCAACATTAAACAAATACTAGACAAAAATGAAATGATAGATGAGAGTGAATGTCATAAAAGAAAAAGGACAGTGTGTAAGAGGCGTACTTGGTTTAGGCAGTAGGGCCAGGGGAGACGAGGGAAGAAACATAGAAGCTGAGTCTAAGGGAGAAAGAGTAGAGGTGAGCTAGGGAAAGCACAGGAGAAGGGTCCAGGGCGCAAAAATGGCAGGAGCCCCGGGGAGGGATGGGGAGTCCAGGCCCCTCTGAGCCATATGTTCTGCAGGTGTTGTGTGGTAGGTTTGGTATCTGGCAATGCTAGGAGCTGGTAGGACAGTACTAGCAGGCATGCTACCCTGACTCCAGTGTGACACAGGTGAAGTACATCACTCATGCATTCGTCCATCCGTTCAATGGACCAGCGTACACTATCAAACTCCTGCTGTATACTAGGATGAACCAAAGTCAGACCCTGCCTTTAGAGGGGACCAGGAGGTTTTTTTTTCTGAGTCAGAGTCTCACTCTGTCACCTAGGCTGGAGTACAGTGGCATACTCACAGCCACCACAGTCTCAATCTGCTGGGCTCAGGCAATCCTTCTTCCTCAGCCTTCTAAATAGAGGAACTACAGGCATGCACCACCACGCCCAGCTAATTTTTTGTTTATTGTAGAGACAGGTCTCACCTTGTTGCCCAGGCTGGTCTCAAACCTGTGGGCTCAGGCAATCCTCTTGGCCTCCACCTCCCAAAGTGCTGGGGTAAGTTCTTGGTGTGTGGCCTTGGTGTTGTAGCTAGGAGGCCACTGGGAGTCATCTGCAAGCACTAGGAATTATCAATGCCTTCCATGCCCACTCAGGGAGGTGATGCTGGCTGGCCTTTAGGGAGCCCTTAGGTAGGGCAGGACCAAGGAAGGAAGTGGGGAAAGAGAGCCTCACTCTTCAGCTGGGAAACCCCCAGGCCTCCTATCCCCAAGGGCAATTGGCAACTCTTGGCTCTTGTGACTATCAGAGACAGTTTTATCTAGATCACCCCCTGGCTTCTGGCTACTGCCATATGCTCAGGCACCTGTCTTCCTGCTGTTCTATCAGTGTCAGGAGTAGTTATCCAGGAGCAGTTCAACTGCACCCAAGTCCTGGGCCAGGGCCAGCATCTCCCACCTGTCCCTGGGATGCAGGAAAACACCTTCCAGTCATCTGCCCAGAGCCAGTCCAAGCAGTTGGCCATTGGGGAAGCCAGGGACGGGTGCTATTATCTCTTTGTGTCCTGAGTAGAATTACCAAGTGAGTGAACCCTGCCAAGGCAGGGAGAGCAAACAGAACTCAATGTTCTTTTTCAGAGTTCAAAAATAGTCCTTTTTGAGTTTTGAGGAAGATCTAGACTTTTAAAAAAAAAATCAAGTTCCCCAGTGCTAAATTCAGCCTTGCCAACATCTACAAAGAATGAAACAGCAGGCAATGTGGATGTGCTGTTTTCTCCCACCGTTCACTCCTGGCAACATGGAGTGTACAAAACCAGGCAAGGGAGAAAGTCATGACTTTGTGCCAATGTATGGCTGAAGGTAAGGCCAGCTGCAGAACCACCAGGCATTCTGCTCATCAGTGGAGATTTAGATTGCCTCTCCCTTCTTCCTTCTTTCCTTCTTTGATTCCTTCCCTTTTGGGGTGCTAATTTCCTCTGAGCTGCAAATTGGTTTTATTTCTTCTCAGGCCTGCTCTTAACATACTCGTATATTATCTCCTAGAATATATGTTATCTGTCCTTAGATTCCGAAGTTGATAGAAGCTTTAGAACTTTAGAACTGCTAGTGACCTGGTAGGTGGGAATACTAACTTAGAAGCCACAAGTGTCCTTGCTGAATGGCTCTGGCAAACCATTTCCCTCTTGAGCTTGCTGGAAAAGTGTGTATCAGGAGGTGGTTGACCACACCTGCCCTGGATGCATTCAAATATCAAACAGAATAAAACATGAGAAACTGTTGTATAGCTAAGTCCTATGTAAAGGTAAGAGATTGGCATTCAAACATACTCCAGTTTACATGTAAGAGCACTGAGGCCCTGAAAGGAGAAGTCTCTTGTACAGGGATACCCAGAAAATTGGTACCAAGGCCCAGACTGAAACCCAGGTCTCCTTCTTCTTGGTTCCCAGGCAATTCTTTGTAACTTCCCTGCCTCTGTCCCCCTTTCTAGACCATTATAGGATGCTGACATCTGAGTACCAAGTGCATTTTCTATTTTCCACCTCTCTCTAAGCCACACCAGCCAGCCACATGAGGTTACATCTTTCATATGATTCCCAGCAAGCTTTGCAAACTGTGTTTTCAAGCCTGAAAACCCTGCACACCCCAGCAACAACCTGAGTTGCTCCCAGAGGTGACTTGTGGGGATCTGATTCACCTGCCGCTGACTCAGGCCTCAGCTCCTGCTGCCCACATAGACACAGCCTAAATTAAAACCATGAGAGCTTGAAAAAATGCAGATGTCGCTCTCTCTACCAGTTCTCCTCAGTGATGAACAGGCAAGTCTAATTTTAGCAAAGAAGAAACTTAGAATGTGAGAAACAGAAGGGACTTTGAGATCATCTTCATTTCATGGTTCTCAGCTGCCAACAAGCAGCAAAATCACCTGAGAAGATTAAAAATATGTATCTCCAGAAATTCTGATCAGTGTATCCAGGGAGGAGCTATGAGCAATATTGTCCTAAAGCTCCTGGGGGCATTCCTATGTACAGTCATGACTGAGAACCAGTGATCTTTTCTCACCCTCTTATTGAACAGAGAAGGCTAAAGTCCCGAGGGCGAAGGGGACTTGCCCGAGGTCACACTGACATCACCGGCATAGTCAGGGCTAGAACCTGGGTCTCCTGACTCTTCATTAGGGTGGCCATGTTGTCTCTCTAATGGGAGACTTTATCTAGTCAAATGACTTGGGCATTTAAAAAAACCATCACCAAATTTTTACCAAATACCTGCTGAATTACAGGAGAGGTGGAAGAGAGAGAATATTCTTCCCTGACCCCCAGAAGCCTACAGTCCAGTAGGGGAAGCACACATGTATCTAGGTTCCTCTAACACCAGGCAGACTCCTGGTACAGAAGGTCGTATGGGAGCACTAGAGAGGGAGAGAACCCTGGAAGACTCCCCAGAGGAGGAAGGGTTACTCCAAGTCTTGAAGGATAGGGAAGTAGAACTGTTAGACAAAACACAGGATGTCCAGTGGAATTTGAATCTCAGATAAATAATGAATATTAATTTAATGTAAATACTTTCCAAATACTGAATGGGATATACTTATACTAGAAAATCATTCATCATTTATCTGATTCCAATTTAAGCGGATGTAGAGAATCATCAGCAGAAGGAACAGCCCTAGCAAAAGCAGGAGAATCTGTGGAGCAGGGATCATTTGTGTAGCCGGAACAGAGAGACTGTGGGGGCTGGGGGGAGGGACAAAGCTGTTGAGGCTGGGTGGGCCCAGGGAGGGCCTGTGTAGCCAGGCTCTAGTTTGGGGCTTGGCTATACAAGCCACTGTACTCACATCTGGACAGCTACAACAACCTTACGGTTCTGAAGCCACATCCATCTTTTCCACTGTAGTGAGTTCTCCACACAGTCAGAACTCTGGTCAGACCATCTCATTCCCTGTTCAGGATGCCAGTGGCTTCCAGGCTGTACCTAGAAAATGTCGTACCTCAACCTAGAAGACCTTCCAGAATCCGACCTTGACTGGGTAAATAAAACCCACTCCAAAGGGTTGCTGGGCAGATCAAGGAGGTCAGGTAACCTTGGTGTTGAAACCACCTGGGAACTTTGAAAATGCAGATGCCTGGGCTTCACCCCCAGGGATTTGGGGTTAATTGGTCTGGAGCAGACCTCAACAGCCTCAGGATTTTCAACAGATTCCCAAGTGACTTCAGTGTGCAACCAAATTGAGGATCCTGGATAACAGAGCATCTTCCCTGGTCCACAGCATGGGCTCAGTGAGGGGGGTAGTGATGCCGTCTTTGTTATTATCACTGCATATCTGTTGTCTCTGTTTCCTCCAGCCTCCTCCCTCACTGGCCTCAGGATCTTCCCCACCCACCATTTCCTCTTCCTGGAATGTTCTGTCTCCCTTCTCTTTATGTGGCCAACACTTACTCATCCTTCCCCATCCCAAGTCCCTCTTTTATATTCTCCCAGAACACACCAAACTTTTCCTTCATACACTTGTCATAGCTGGGGCTTATCTTTTTAATTGTGTGGGTACTTGCTTAGCACCTCTCCTTCAGCAGACTGTCAGCTACCTGAGCAGAGACCAGGTCTTTCTTGTTCTCCACTGTCCCCTCAACCCATTTGGCACCCCCTAGAGCCAGGCACACAATGTGCGCACTCAATAAATGTTGAACAAATGAATGGATGAAAGAATGGCTGAGCATGGGAGTGATGTGATTAGACTAGCATTTCCAGAACGACCTTTCTGGCTGCTCTGTGCTGGATGTTGGGAGGCAGAAGGCAGGAGGAAGCCGAGACCAGGACACCAGTGATGGCACAACTGTGACAATACCGCCAACAGATGATCGGGGCCTCAACTAGGATGGAGGGGATGGAGTGGGAGGGGGAAAGATCTCGGAGATGCTAGAGTGGTCATATGGGCTTGCAAGTAGAAGGTGCTGTGTCCTGAGGTTTTACCGTGAGGGACAGACAGGATGACAAGATAGAAAGTGAGCCAAAGGAAGAGGCTGCTGATGGGAAAGATTCATTCTTTTCTGGCCAAGTTGAGTTGACTGGGTCAGTGGATCATCAAGGGGGAATCTAGGAATTAGAGGCAGGGGCAAGGGAAGTCTAGGCTGGGGATGGAGATGAGAGTCACATGAATAAAGATGAGAGTAAAAATAAAATAGAAATGTAAAGTTTTCCTGCAAGTGTTTCTTGCTATTTCTGTGAGCCAAAGTTCTCGGGGTGTGGAATGTCGGTCCCGGGGAGGCTCTTGTGTCTGACAAAGGTGAGTCATGGGCTTTCCCTTGTCCCCACAGCGATCTTGGGCATGCACACGCTCATGAGCAACCAGCAGTACTACCAGGCCCTGGGCAGCAGCTCCATCGTGAACAAGGAGGGACTCAACAGTGAGTACTCAACCCTGGCTGCCTGCCTCAGTCACCTTTCCCTGGCCCCAGGGCTGGCTCACAGATCACCTTGGAAGAAGGAGGTGTCCTGTGCTTCCTGCTTCCTCTGCATTTTCTGTTTGCTGATGCACCCTGGCTCATTGCAGAAGTTTCAAAATTTTATGTTTTCAAATCTATCCATCTCCTGGGATTTGTATCTTGTTTATAAAGTCCTTCTCCATCCCAATAGCATAAAAAATATTCTCCTACATTGTCTGCTAAAACTTTTAGAAATGTATGTCTTTTATTTTAAATTGGAAAATGTAGTTTATTTTAAAAGTAAATTGGAGAAAGAGAGAGAGAAAAGATTCACATCTCCAAGGTAGGGGAGGGGGCCAAAGCTGGGAAACTTGGCGGCCACAGTGCAAAGAGCCACGTGGCTACACAAGAGTTTATCAAAGCAGAAATTTATGTCATATATTCAACTTCTTGATCCACCTGGAGTTCAGGTTTGTGTGTGGTGTGCGATGAGATCAAACTTCCATTTTTAAATAGATATCTAATTATCCCAACACCATTTTTTGCTAAATTTATTATTTTACCTGTGGCTTGGGCCTCCACCTTTGTCAGATATTTCCGTATATCCACAAGGGTCTGTTTCTAGGCACTTCTTCTATTCCACGAGTCCCTTTGTCCTTCCCTGTGCCAATATTGCATTGTCTTTATTACTCCACTGCACTGTTCCAAAGCTGGTGTGTTGGCCCCAAAGAGGAGGCTGCCCAAAGAATAATTATTCCTCCTTCTGGAATGACTGGTGAATTTCTTTCCCATCCAGACTTCACCTTAGCCTACCAAGAGCCCATTGAGGCAATGAACACAGGTAGAATGACCATCCCACTTTAGATGAAAACCTGAGGTTCAGATAGTTTAAGCAATTCACCCAGTTCTTGAAGGACGTCAAAGAGTCCAAGCAGAGCCCAAGCCCCTGGGCTCCTTTGCGTGGCTTCTTCCCACCCAGTGCCTCCTGGTAGCCCTTGTGGAGGCACAGCCTTCCTATATCCCTGAACTCTGCAGATGCTTCCTCTCAGAGTGTCCTTGTGTTGACAGAAAGTGATCCCCTGGTTTCTGTGAGCCACCTCTCTTTGTTGTCACTCTAGGTGTGATTAAACCCACTCAATATAAGCCTGTGCCTGACGAAGAACCAAATTCGACAGATGTAGAGGAAACACTGGAGCGGATAAAGAACAATGACCCAGAACTTGAAGAAGTTAACCTCAATAATATCCGGGTAAAGCCCCTTTATTTCACTTGACATGGGGAGGAGGTGAGGGGGACCATGTCCTTGTCACCCAATGCAAACTCTCCAGACTTAGCTGTGCAGAGTGAACAGAATCCTGTTTGGATTCCAGGTGTTTCCAAATCAGGAATGGGGCAAACCTTTACAAATGGGAGCATTTAAGAGGGCTGGGCAGCGTAAACAAGCACATCCCACAGTCTTGGTTTCTTTCAGAGAACGACATTGGGCCCAGATGTTCCCCATGGGCCAACCCAGCTTCAGTCTTGGAAACCTGCCATGTTATTCAAAACACTGAGAGATTCTCCGAGATAAAATCATGAGTCAGACACATGCTGTGACACGGGATCTCAAGGCTGGAAAAGTCCAGCGCCCACCAGGCTCAGGGGGTAACCCAGGCCCTGGGTGGGGCCCACCTCCGAACCATAGCTGCTACAGTATCATGTTCATACTCACCCTAATTTTTCAGCCACGGAAGGGAGCTGTTGGCCCAGATGCTCAAAGAAATGCCTTCCATATCTCTGTGGTCATTTCCCCGTGTGACCACCAGGACAGGGGAGGCACAAGTGGACAGGCAGTCCCACCCTGGACAGGCCGCAGGAGGAATTCAGAAGCAGGCACAGCTGCCGGCCCACCTGCCCAGCCCAGAGGCCAGAGGATTAGTTGGGGGAGGGAGTGGAGTAAGACAAGAAGCTAGCCCCCCACGCTCTCTCCACTTTCTTTCCTTCTCCACTTTCTTTTAAGCGACTGCCAACCCAGCGGCACCATCAGATTGGAAACTTGTGCCCTAGTGTTCTCCTCCACCTGGCCTCCACACCTCTGCTCCCACGGGGGCTAAAGTGACGCTCTGAAATGAGAGCTCAGTAAAGACACAGCCGTGCGTTCTCTCAGGCGGCTCAGTTGTCTGCTTTGTGACCACTGGGAGACACTGGCTTAATTCAGAATGGTGCACTCTGGCAGTGCATACCACCTCAGAGCTGCATGAGGGGTGGAACCTCACTATGAGGCCTCAGCCCCCTACAGGCTTCAGTTTCCCCTGTGCACCATGAGGCAGTTGGACAGATTCATGCTATTCACCTGAGGAGATTAAAAAATATGTATCACTGCCCAGGCCTACCCCCAGAGATTCTGATCCTCTTGGTCTAGGGCAGGCCTCAGCATCACCATTTTGTAAAAGTTCCCCAGGAGCCACTGATGTGCAGCCAAAACAGAGACCCCCGGAGTAGATGTCTCTTAGCGAGCATCTAGGGCAATCCTTTCACCTTTGCTTTCCAGAAACTGGTCCAGGGAGGAAAAGAGGCTTCCTCAGAGACAAACAGTATATCAAAAACAGTGCCAATCTCTGAGGCCCCTTCCCATACTCCAGTCCTGGCCTCTGGGCACAACACCCCTCAAGTCTCTATGCCTTGATATTTGCCTCTTCTCTGGCTTCCACATGCATAGAGAGATAGTAGCAAGTCCTATCTGAAATTTTCAGGGAGGATTTTCTCAATCTGTTTACCAGGAGGTTCTCTCTCAATCTCAGCCATCTGGAACAAAGCCGGAACCCATTGCCCACTCGATTTTTTGGCCAGAGACTTGCTAGGAATCAGCGAGGAGCCGGGTTATGTGTGTGAGAGAGTTCCTGCCCCATCTGCCTACTCCAGCTTGTCCCGGCAGGGGCTGCTGGTCACTCTCTCTGCTGCTTTTCTCTTTGCAGAATATCCCCATACCCACCCTCAAGGAGTATGCAGAAGCCTTAAAAGACAATTCATATGTGAAGAAGTTCAGCATTGTGGGGACACGGAGCAATGACCCTGTGGCATATGTATGTACCTTTCCCTCCTGTTGCATGGAGGGTGGAGGCTTAGAAGCAGAAGGGCTGACACTTGTGGCCTCATGACTGGTTGTACTCCTCTGGGAGAAATCTTTGTGGTACGATGGAAGGCACCAGGCCAGGAGCCAGCAGGGGTGTGGAGGGAACGGCCATCACCCAGCACCACCTGCACACATCATCCTAGCCAATCCTTACAACCACCTCTGATCTCAGACTTGTGGGTCTCCCTCCTATGCACAGGAAGGTCTAGGGTTCAGAGAGGTCAGGTAATTTGCTTTGCCCAAAGTCACACAGCAAGTGAGAGGTGGCCTGCAATTCAAATGCAGTCACATGGCCCTCAAAGCTGGCTCTCTCTTCACTCAGCACATCTTATTAGAATGAGGGTCTGTCCCTCCCTGTGATTCTCCATCTCTAAAATCAATGTCTTCATCATTGGATCCCGATGACCAATTTTCTTTTATTACCCACGTCTCAAAAAATATTCTCTATCAAATTAAATTTTACTTATAAAGTAGTCATCACTCCTTTTTCTTTTTAAACATTCAACACATGTTTATTAAGAGTCTCTGTGCCCAGCACTGAATTAGGCCCTGGGAATACAACTGTGACAAAACAGTCTCAGCTCCCACTTTTATGAATATACTAGTCCATTTGTCTAAGTAGGCAACTACAGAATAACAGTACAATGTGACTAGTACACTACTAATAACAGGTAAAAAAAAAAAATGCAGGAATTAGCTTACCAGGGCTGGCGATTAGTCATTTTATAGCAACCAATTCTTTTCTGATTTGTAACATAAGTAGGAAAATGTTCTTCAAATTTCACTTCTTTGAGATGATAGAAATAACTCAGAGACTTCCACTGCTGCCAGCGGGGAACCTCTGGATCAATGATCTCTGACCTCAGAAGATCTCGGGTAGATCCTGAGTTTGCCCATGGCAACCCGACTGGCTAAGCTACATGCCCTGTACACCACTATGTCATGGATAAGAAACCAGGCATGTCCATGTTGGCACTCAGCTCTAGTCCATGGATGATTTTTGGGCATGGACTCTGCCAGGCCAACAGCTGACATCAGTCTGTGCATAGCAGCATACCCTTGTCAAATACTGAAATGCTTCTGAGCCAGTTGGTCAACCAGGCTGCCAGGGCTCTGTGAGCGCCCCTACTGCCGGTCCCTGCTCTTCTACTGGGCCCTGGTTCCTCTACTGTGATCCAGCCCAAGAGGAGGGCCATGATAGGGCCTTTAGGACCTGCTGAGCCACCAGCCTGTCTAGTGGAATCGGCCTGGTGAATTGTCTGTTGGTTGTTATTTGGGTTACTTTTAATTATTAGACCAGGCATTTCTGGGAGCAGGGGAACCTATGGAGGGCACAGACAAGACATTGACTACATCTTTCCCCTCAGGAGGACCAGCCCACTCAGAGGCAGACATGATCCTAGAGAAAGCTGACATGTTCCAGGGCACACTGAAGTGAGGGGAGCTGAGGAGGGGGTGATGACTTCAAAACCGAGGGCATCCTGGGAACTGAGCCTCTCAGTAGGTCTCAGCAAGGCAGGGGCAACAGGGCAGGCATTCCTGTCTCACGGTGTCATTTCAGACAACAGGCCCCACTGATCAGTATGTCTTGGGCCTATCAGCTGCTGGTGTCGACTTTCCTCCATGACACATCATTTCCACCAACTGCTAATTACCTCATTTCCTTCAGAGGCTCTGATTGTCATCGACACTCCCTGGCTGAATTCCTCTGAAACGTGCTGGGGGCCACCTAAGCTCTTCTCCTCTAGCTTGCCCTGGTCACTTGCCCAGTGGGTGGTTTCCCAGGCTTCCCTCTTCTGCTCTCCAGTGCTCAGATGAAGAAACCTGTGTCTCCATGGACTTTCAACAGGGAAATAGAAGAGACAAGTGGAAAGTACATAGGGGAGGTTGCAGTTCCACTGGTCACTCAATGAACATTGCCTGAGGACCTACTATGTGCAGGGCACTGTGGCAACATGGGATGAAGAGGGTACATTTTTAACTCACCAAGAGCATATAGTCTAGTGGCAGAGACAACAACAATTATAAAACAGCTGAGCAGGGAGACAAAGTCCATGAAGTAGGTATGTGTGAATGACGTGAGAGTTCAAGAGAGCAGGCCACAGCCAGTTGGGGATGTCAGCAAAGGCTCTTGGAGAAATGGGCATTGAGAATGGCCTTGAAGGATGGGCAGGGTTTGGACAAAGGAAGCAGAAGTGCATTCCCAGGGACAGGGAGGGAATGGGTAAAAGTAAAGCAGTGAGAAGGCACTCAGTATGCACAGGAAGCTACAGTGGCCCCAGGAAGCTACAGTGGCCCCACTGAGAGGGAGCAATGAGAGTGACACTGGACGGGGAGTAGAATCAGGTCATAGAAGCCTCAGGTGCAGACTAAGCTGCGTTGAATTCTCTGGAGGCGGTTAGAAGCCATGCGGGTTGGAGGGAAGAAAAAGCCAGAGTTGTGCTTGGGGAAGGAAGTTGTGGAGATCGTCTTCCTGTTCCTCTGGGTGTCTTAGGATCTATGCAGGAGGGCCTCCTGACCTCCTGCCTTGCTCAGGGTGACTCACAGGTACCCCAACCTTTCTCCTGTGGTTCAAGGCCCTCGCTGAGATGCTCAAGGTGAATAAGGTGCTGAAGACACTGAATGTGGAATCCAACTTCATTTCTGGAGCTGGCGTCCTACGCCTGGTGGAAGCCCTCCCACACAACACTTCTCTGGTGGAGCTGAAAATCGATAACCAGGTGAGATGCACGAGGGTCTTCTTGGTCCATTACTGGTGGTGTTCACCATTCTCCACTTTCTCATGTGCTGCTGGGCAGGGCAGATGGTGCTGACTGTAGAAGCTCAGAGTCCAGCAGTGAGGGAACTCGAAGGTTGTCCAGTCCATACTGCCCACCATGCTCACCTTCTTTGTCACTCCCAACATGTGCTCTCCCAGCTTCCGCTTGTGTCCTTCTCACAATGGGGGGCTCACTCGTTACCCATATCATCCCCTCCATTATTAGGCAGCGAGAATGTTGTAGGCAGTAGAAATTCGCTCCCTACAAGTCCTGCTTACTGGGCTTAGTCTTTTCTCTGCTGCTCCCTTGATACCTGGTGCCCAGATTTCATAAATCATTGGACTCTTCTTCCTCAGGCGAAATATCCCCAATTTCTTCATTCAATGGCAGACTTTTCAGTATCCATTCAGGTTACTCTCCGGGAGAAGTCTAGTTTGTCTTTATCCTACTGGAGTTACTATTGTTTCTCTGCAACTTCTGTGGTTCAGTTATTTATCTGCAAGCCAACTCTCTCTGTTCTGACTTTCTCAGAGGATGTCAATAGCAGTATTTCAGGTGTTACACGTGTTCAAGTTCTACTGTGGGCTAGGCTTTGTGTTACGCTCTTCACATCCATCATCTCTGATCTTCACAACAACCCTGCAGGATGTGGGTATCATGAGTCTTGTTTTGAAGAAGAGAAAACGGCTCCCACAGACTAAAAACAAGTAGCTTTTTCAGGGTCACAGGATTAGCACTTAAGAAGCAGGATTTGAATCCACGTCTCCCTAACTCCAAAAAGCATACTCCTTCTACTGCTGCATGTTGCTTTTGATATTGAATTGCTTTCTTCTTTATGGATGGGGAATTCAGCTGATACTTTTTCCCCTGCATGAAAATTTTTGCTGGATGACTGTATACATGGATGCATAGGAAAAAGACTGGAAAGAAATAGTACAAAATTGTAAACAGTGTCTATACCTGAGTGATTACCAGTGATTTTTAGCTTTTTTAATTGTGTAATATGGCAAACATACAGAAAAGTGCATAAAATGTAAATGAATAGCTTAAATCATAACAGGCAGGTGGCCCCTATCCAGGTCAAGAATTGAAACATGACCAGCCTCCAGAAGTCTTCGACTGGTCCCTGCCCAATCATAACCCTTTCAAAACTATTCACAACTTGCTCCCCACCACTTACGTGCCTCCAGGCCTTGCCTTCTTCCTGGAATTGTCCTCCCCTGCCCCTAACCTCTTCTCAGCCTTCTGGGTTCAGCCAAGGCTTCTCCTTTTTCCTGTAGTGTTCTAGAGCCGGCTTGAACCAGCTTGCCGTAGCTCTTCCCAACTCCAGCAATGGCACATTGGTACCTTGAAATAGCTCATGGAAGGTGGGAGTATTTACACTAGGGAAATTGGCAAATTGGCAAATTGGCAAGCCACAAATCAGTCCTTTTTTTTTTTTTTGACAGCCAGGTTACCACTGCCTTCTCCCACCAGCCTGCCATAGCTTCTCTGTGCCTCTGTCCAGAGTTAGGTTGCTCTGTGTTCCCTAAAATCTCAGCTTCCCTGTGAATTTCTCAGTAGCTGGTACTCTGTCTGACTCTCCTTCATATCCCAGTGCCCAGCTAAGGAGCTAGCCCTGCAGGGGTGATTGATAAGCAAAATTGCCCTAGATGGTTGTGCATATTGTTCACTGTATAATGAGGTGAAGAGAGCAAAATTCATCCCACAACTCACCCTCCAAATTGTGTGCCTCGCTACAGAGCTTTGTTTACATGTAAAGTTGCCACGTGAGCCAGCAGTGGCCTGTCATGTGCATTTGCTGCATTGCACTCCTTGCATCTCTCGTATGCCGGTGACCTTGCTGTTGCATCCCTCATTCCCAGCCCCTCTCACCCCTCTCCTCTCTGCCCCTCCTTTGGCCATGCTGACTCTGCTCCATTGGAGGCAGAAGGGGCAGAGCAGATGGAACAAAAGCGTGCAGCAGACTTGGCAGCAGCCCTGGGCCAGCCCCTGGGACTGGCTACTCATGTGTCCAGGCCTGGCCAGGCAGGAAGTCAGGGTCTACTCAGAGTCAGTTGAAACCTAACTCCCAAGCAACATGTTTGCCAAAGAGCACCAGGACCACTGGCCTCAGGTCATTGGGGTGGCAGCTGGCAGAGAGCTGCCCCTTGCCTCTTGTTGCCATCTCCCCAGAGTCCAAAACAGAGCCAGTGCTAACATCATCCGCACCCTGGCTGGACACCCTGGTGCAAGAGCATTCACGTTTCTGAGCCTGTTTCCTACTTACAAAATGGGGGATTATATGAATTTCAACTTCTAAAGAGATAACAGTCTCTGAATTTTAGAATTACCTGGAAGGTGATCCAGGGTGTTCACACATTCTTCTAAGGATTGATTTACTGAGCAGGTACATGAGCCAGGAACCATACTGGGTACTTTGTATCCATTGTCTCATTTAATGCTCATGAAGACTCTGTAAGTACACAACTCACCCCCATATTAAAGGTGAGGAAAGTGAGTGCCAAGCCAGCTGTATAACCTGCCCAAGGTCACAAAGGAAGTGACAGGGGTAAGATTTGAACCCAGGACAGTGTGACTCCAGAATCCGTATATTATGCTTGTCTGGGTTCTTGAAACAGTTGTAGTTTTGTGTGGGCCTAGCTTGGCTTTTCTTATCTGTCCTCTTCTCCTGGTATGGGACCTGAGCACTGGTCATCACCAGCTCCCATCCCGTGAGCCTCTTCTCTAGTTCATCTCGACATTTAGTGAGTTCTGGCTGCTTGCCAGGGCTGTGGGGGGCTCTGTTAGGAATGAGGCCCCAGCTCTGCCCTCCAGACATTCCATGCTGGGAATGAGAGGAAAGATGGGTACAGAAATGGCCATCATACCGAGTGCTCTAGCAAGCCACAGCAGTGGACTGTGAGATCCACTGGTAGGAGCAGTACCAGTCAAGAACAGGGGCCGGGCTTGGTGGCTCAGCCTGCAATCCCACGCTTTGGGAGGCTGAGGTGAGTGGATTGCCTGAGCCCGTGGGTTCGAGATTCACCTGGGCAACTTGGCGAGACCTCATCTCTACAATAAATCAAAAAATTAGCCGGGCATGGTAGCGTGCCTGTGGTTCCAGCTACTTGGAAGCCTGAGGCAGAAGCATTGCCAGAGCCCAGCAAGTTGAGGCTGCAGTGGCCGGGAGCAGCCACTGCACTCCAGTCTGGGTGACAGATGAGACTCCAACTCAAAAAAAAAAAAAAAAAAAAAGCAGGGAGAGGGAGAGCTTCTTGGAGGAAGTGGCACTTGAGATAAACCCATGGAGTGGAAAGTATCTCAGAAGGTAAAATGGAGGCTGTGGCATCTCAGGTATGGGGAAATCACACGAACAAAGAGAAGGAATGAGGAAAGCTGTGGAGCCCATCCAAACAATACTCATGGTTCCCCCAGAGGAGAACCAGAGAGGGTGTTGGGAGCTGGAGAGCTTTGAAGGGGTAGGTTTAGGGAGCATGGGCTGTGGCTGTCTGGAAAGATGATTCCTGCTGATAGGAGAGGATTTGGAGTGGGGAGAGGGCATCAGGGCCCAGGAAGCCAGCAGGGGCTGTGATCACCAGGATGAGGAATCTTTGGGCAGGTGCTGCTTCCTAACTGGATTTGGGCCTGGTTGGGGAGGAGCTGGAGGCAGGTCTCAGGGAGGGGTCTCCACTGACCCAGGCTCTGGGGAAGGCCACCTCGCCCCTCCTGTGTGTCCCAAGAGGCCTGGGCACAGCAAGCTACTTCCTCTCCGGTGCCCCAGCCCTGGACTGGGGGGAGGCGAGAGAATGTGACACAAAGGAGGTGCTGAGTGGCATTTGATTTATTCCTCATTCTTGGTTCGTCACTGAGGCCCTTGGAGGCCAGAACTTTTTCCTCAGTCCTAGGCTTGTAACCTGTGTCAGTGAGTCTCTGTCCTTCTTTCTCCTTATACGGCCAAAGAAAGGGACTCAAGGAGTTCTTAGGGTGACACAGAGTCTTGCAGACTGGTTCAGGATGCAATTTGGGAACCAGAACTCTGAGGCTGTTTGTTTACACAACCAGTCTCTCCTTATCTCCAGGCAATGTTCTTTTGCTGCCTGAAGTTGCCCTGAGGCTGCGAAGGGGCAGAAGGGGGGCTGGTCTGGAGTCAAAGTGCACAGAGAAGACATCCAGTCCAGCCCTTCTTTCACAGGTGGGGAAACTGAGACTCAGGGAAGGGATGGATTTGCCTGATGCTACGGGTCAGATTTGTGGCAGAGCTGGGTTGCAGCTAAGGTATCCTGGCTGCATTTATGGATGAACAGGAGAGACCCTGTTAGCCCTGACAGAACTTGCAGGCCCCGGCCTGTTTCAAGTAGGTAATGTTCAAATGGGAATTATCTACCCCTCTTGACTCACCCTCCTAACTCCTAACAGAGCTGCCCTTCCCCAGACCCCTCAGGACTCTCAGAGGAGTCCTGCCCCCTAGGACAGAAAAGGCTTGAAGACATGACCCCCAAATGAAGATATGTACAATGTCTGGGTCAAGGGGTAGTTATTGGCTAGATTCCAATATTTGACAGTGAAGATGTGCTTAATATTTTAAAGAGAAGCTAAAGGAGTGAATTGTGTTTTCTTGTTTTTTCAGATTCAATAATTTATGTCTGGCTTTTTAAACTCAACATTGTCTGTGAGTGTATCAGTTATCTATAGCTGTGTAACAAATGGTCCCCAACTTTAGGGACTTAGCCTGAAAGTCCTGGCTTAGTGCTACAATAAGTATGTATTAGCTCACAGTTTCTGAGGACCAGAAATGCAGGCACAACTTGGCCAGCTAACTTCTCCAAGGACGAGTGATATGAGTGGAGGAACTGCTTCCAAGATGGCGCTCTCATTGTGTTGGCAGGAGGTCTCAGCACCCTACCATGTGCACCCTCTGTAGGGCTGCTTGAGTATCCTCACGATATGGCAGCTAACTTCTCCCAGAGTGGAATGAGCCA